CAGTAAGGAAGTCCTGACTTTTTCTTCAAGAAATTTTGACAGGAATGTCAAAATTTCCTGGCGATTTGCGGAAAAAACTATTTTCTGTTACTAAACTGTTATTAACTGAGTGTTCATTAAATAAACGTTGCGCGATTTTTGATATTTTTTGATTTTGATTCTCATGAGATCAATCAAATTTATCACTTTCATTGATCCGTCACTATGAAATTTTCAATATTAGAGCGTAATCTTCGAAACCTATTGCATGCAATTTTGATTTTAAGTTTTAACAACAAATGTGAGGCATTTGAAATATGCCTAAAAACGCTGATTTAAACTTTCATATTACAAACGAACTACAACTTCAACAAATTTAATAAAACTGCTTCTTTTCGATTACACCAGTACGGTTTTTGAAACTACACAACTTCAGCTATAAATTTCACTAATGTTTTTTCTACGACGTATAGATTCTTGTTAAATCGATTTCCCCCCCCCCCCTGAGAGGGGCGATTTTAGGTGGAAGTTGGGGGTAGGAGCAGTAAACTTTTTTATATTTTTTGGGGTCCCAAAATTGGCATTCTCAACAAAATTCAGCTTGTTCATATGATTTTTAAAAGTCTGACTCTTTTTAAACTCTGACGACTGGACTATAGCGATATATTAATTTCAGCGACAGAAAAGTGTATTATAATCGTATACCGCATAAAGAATAGGTGTGTAGTGTATAATCATATACTGCATAACAATATTGTCATTCAGCGTTTTATTAGAGTTTTAGAAATATTTCTATTTTTAATGTGTAATCAGTAATGGATCCAACAACTTATATAACTGGTCTGTAATAAGATATATTGCATTTAGAATATTTTTAAGGATATATTAGTTTCAGCGACAGAAACGTTTAAAAACTATGGTTATCGTGGACTAATAGAAATTTCTACTTTATAAATCGCCTGTCGTATCGCAACTTTCGTTTCTTCGAAGGTGCGTGACTGTGACTAAGAATAGGGATCAAATGGATTACGGTCACAAATCAATTTTACGGGGGTTTGTTATACAAACGAAGGTATTTCCATGTTTGTTAAAAGCATGAATAATTCCATGAAATTTATGTGGTCTGCTTTTAACGAAATCGTTCTTGAAGATAATTTCAAGTTAAATTATTTCAATGTTTATCCACATTGATTGAGAAATGTCTATACCATCTCAGCGTAAACAAAACAAAAATTCTCCTAAACGTATTTAATGCGTTTGCCTTGAAAAATATTCATAAATAGTAAAAGTCCTTACTTTTTTACAAATTTGTCAAATCTGGTATATATTTTATTAAAAAATACTAACGCTAAAGAAATACTTTGTATAGTGAACATAACAATTATGTAATAGATTTCTTTTTCGAGAAAAGGCGATTTTGGAGATAAATCCCGAACTAATTACACTTTTGACTTAGTACACCCATAGGAAAAAATCAAGTGATGTAAGATGTGGAGCTCTTGAGGGCCACTCTATTTTCCACCTCCTAGAGTCCTAGACTATCTCAGACCATACGTTTACTTTTTGAGGATGCTGAATGTGTGCCTGAGTGATCCAATGGCAATTGAAACATTTAATTTAAATGAAAAGCAATTTGTATTTGTCAAATAAATATTTTTTTCTGTTTTCCGGCAGTCGAAAATATATTTTACATAAAATGTTTTGTAAATTCATTTAATTCAAAATATAAATATTTTTTGCCCACCCTGTATAAAGAAAATTATTGACTATAGAATTCAGTAACCTTTCAAATAGCATACGGATCTTATTCTTATTAAAAAAAATCAATTACGTCGTAACGTACAGATGGATAACGCCACTATATTATAACAATTTTGAATTAAAGGTGACTCATCTAGAGCTAACGGCAACAATGTTAAATGTCAAGAAATAAATATTTACCGGCACTTGCCTGGCCATTTTTATTGTGTATGCTTCGCCAATGTCGATAAGTGAAAAGTAAGATTTTTACAAATTTGTAAAATCTGGTATGTATTTTATTAAAAAATACTAATGCTAAAGAAATATCTTGTACAGTGAAGATCAAAATTATGTAATAAATTTATTTTTCGAGAAAAGGCGATTTGAGAGACAAATCCCGAAATAAGCCGATTTTTATTTGTATCATATTTATCATACTAGTGACTTTTGACAACTTTTGACTTTAAGTACCCCCATGGGAAAAATCAAGTGATGTAAGATCTGGAGATCTTAGGGGCCACTCTATTGTTCCACCTCCTAGAGTCCTAGAATATCTCAGACCATGCGTTTACTTTTTGAGGATACTGAATGTGTGCCTCAGTGATCCAATGGAAATTGGAACATTTAATTTAAATAAAAAGCAATTTGTATTTGTCAAATAAATATTTTTTTCTGTTTTCCGGCAGTCGAAAATATATTTTACATAAAATGTTTTGTAAATTAATTTAATTCAAAATATAAATATTTTTTGCCCACCCTGTATAAAGAAAATTATTGACTATAGAATTCAATAACCTTTCAAATAGCATACGAATCTTATTCTTATTAAAAAAATCAATTACGTCGTAACGTACAGATGGATAACGCCACTATACTATAACAATTTTGAATTGAAGGTGACTCATCTAGAGCTAACGGCAACAATGTTAAATGTCAAGAAATAAATATTTACCGGCACTTGCCTGGCCATTTTTATTGTGTATGCTTCGCCAATGTCGATAAGTGAAAAGTAAGATTTTTACAAATTTGTAAAATCTGGTATGTATTTTATTAAAAAACACTAATGCTAAAGAAATATCTTGTACAGTGAAGATCAAAATTATGTAATAAATTTATTTTTCGAGAAAAGGCGATTTGGGAGACAAATCCCGAAATAAGCCGATTTTTATTTGTATCATATTTATCATACTAGTGACTTTTGACAACTTTTGACTTTAAGTACCCCCATGGGAAAAATCAAGTGATGTAAGATGTGGAGCTCTTGGGGGCCACTCTATTTTCCACCTGCTAGAGTCCTAGACTATCTCAGATCATACGTTTACTTTTTGAGGATGCTGAATGTGTGCCTGAGTCATCCAATGGCAATTGAAACATTTAATTTAAATGAAAAGCAATTTGTATTTGTCACATAATATTTTTTCTGTTTTCCGGCAGTCGGAAATGTATTTTACATACAATGTTGTGTAAATTTAGTTCAAAATGTAAATATTTTTTGCCCACCCTGTATAAAAAAATTACTGAATAGAGAAATCAATATTTAAATAGCATACGGACCCTACTCTTACAAAAAAAAACAATTACGTCGTCACGTTCAGATGGATAACGCCACTATACCATAACAATTTTGAATTGAAGGTGACTCATCTACAAATTGAACTGAGAGCTAACGGCAACAATGTTAAATGTCAGAAATAAATTTTGACCGGCACTAACCGGGTCATTTTCATTGTGTATGCTTCGCCAATGTGGATAAGTGAAAAGTAAGATGATTCTATAAAATTTTAATAAGTTCGTTGAATACTTTGAAACATCGGTAAACTTGTTAACAATTCGCTGGTCTATATATTTGCATCCTTAGACATGAGAGAAATAGTTTATTCGTTTCACATTCTATATCTGCATAGGTGTGATGTGTTAGAGGAACAGATATGATGTGAAATGCAATTTTCGATTGGAATTATTACTTGAGTCCATTAGGACAACGGTAATGCAGAATTATCGCCTTCCATAAACGAGCACAGAAAAGAAGATTTAAAATTTATATATGCCAAACATTAAAGAGGTTTGTTCTGCCACAAAGAGATTTATTATCTGGATGAAACGTGGGTGAACGCTGATCACACAGTATCTACGATCTGGCAAGATACTACTGTAACGAGTTATCGTCAAGCAGTTGTGGACAGTTTATTACAAGGTTAAGATGGCCAACGTATACGTATAAAAGCCAACGACTGATTGTTGCCCATACAGATAGTGACACTGGCTTTTTAGACGATAGTGCATACATTTTTTTATCCAAAACGACGATTCTTATCACAGCCGATTAGTAGAACATCTATCAACTATGGCCACCAGAAAAGCAGACGTGCAGAGTTGGTTAGGACTAATAAAATTAGAAAATTCCATTTTCCGAGATCATGATTAAAGCTGAGCTTATAGGTATTATTAGACAGCATCGTAACAGAGAACGCCAGCATGTTGTAGATACAATGGCTCGTGCTAAAGGCATCACCATTTTGAGTTTTCCTCCATTGCCAGTTAAACCCGATATAATTAATCTGGGCTTAAATAAAGGGTAACGTAGCTCGTGAAAACGTGACATATAAAATTTCTGATGTCCAACGTATATTAGAACTAGCAATGGAACGGATACGGTCCCATTGATCCAGCCCATGTGATCAAGTAAGATGAGAAAATGTGGAGATTGGACAGGATTTTTAGACACTATTTTGGACAAAATAATAATAGACTTAAGTGTGACTGTGGATTCCTTTTCGGACGAGTCGATGGATCCTAAACGGATCTGCTACTTAGACTGGAATACGCTCGTGTATCGGATTGACCTATGAATGAGTACGGCAAGAGATGAGCACTTGCGTCTCGGTGTTACTTCTCCATAGATCCCTACCGGAAAAGCGGATACGTTTAAAAAACATAAATATACATAGATATAAAATTTTAAGTTTTGAATAATTTAGAACTTTGGATAAAAACTCTTTCAGGTCTTGATTTTATGTTTATTAGAAGCTATAACGGATATGTAGTGTTGGCAAAAATGACGATGTCATCGGGATATTTAAATGATTTATTCATACACAATTTTATAATCTTTTATGGCTTCTTGAAAAATTGCCCCTTGAGTAAATTTGAATATAAAAGGTGTTAATATACATCCCCACCAGAATCTCCATAGCACTTAGCGGCTTCCAGAGAAAATACTATCACTACAATACTATCACTACCTCAAAAGCTTGATTTTGCGTAAAACTATAAATTCGTACCTGTTGGTCGAATACCACACTGCTCTTAAAGGCTTTCCTCATGTGAATGTCTTGAAGCGACACCTCTTCCACGGTGCTATCTAATTGTGTTACTTTTATGGCTAACCTATCGATTCTAGCTTGCAAAGAATTTGACCTATCGTAGAGCTGTTGGGCATCTCTTGCTAATTCGCCAAATAAATCTTCAGCGTGCCTGAAACAAGAGAAAAAATACTAAATAGTAAATCTATTATTAAAACGTACTAAATCTATTAAAACGTACAAACAGAAGTACCACACAAAAATCGCCGAACAACTAATTCAAAATATCCCACGCAGAAATAGAGATAGAAGATTGTTTGAACAAGATGAAGATGGCTATAAAAAATGCGGCGGAAAACACATTAAACGAAAATAAACTATAGAAGAAAACGTGATTCTGGAAGACGAAGAACATCCTGGCTCCAGAACCTCCGCCAGTGGTTCAGTGTTGGCATAACAAAAAAAAAGAGCCATTCAAGTCTATCAACTCCATTATGAGGGGCTTTGTTAAGCTATTAGCGCTCGGTGGCATGACAACTTTAATTACTAGTGACTTTCAACATCCATAAAATCTCAATTGTGTATTGTGTGTGTCCTATTTTTAGCTGTTATATAATTTTTAGCATGTCCACATGTATTTCGAACCTACAACTTTGCTTGTAAACTTTTTAGATTCTCGCTAGTATTTATTTCAGTATCGGAGTTTTACAGCAAATAAACTTTGTCTTTGGTGAATGGTTCCTAAGGCCCGTAGTCATACAAATCCAAGTAAAAAAAGGTGTTTACAGCTGTCCCGATGTCGCGAGAGAATCAAAATCGAATGGATTTTAGAAACACTTCGAAAAAAGAGACGGATAAAGGTGATTAGAATTTAAGGAGTCAGTCTAATAAATATATTTGTACGGTTAAATAAATTAACGTTATAAATTCATCGTGTTTTAGTGTTAGTGTTAAGAAGACTTTAAATAAATTAAAATAATATTATTCTGAAGCTATTTTCTTGTAGCATCTTAATGAAACTTAACTTTAAAATTAAGTTTATTTGACGTTTCTTCGATTTCCACTTCGAAGATATAATTTTTACCAACAAACATAGCAAATTAAATTAACGTCAACATTAAGTACAATATTGTTACGAAAGTTCCGTAAGATTTATTCCCCATAGAAAAGGTCCCTCGACGAAAAAGAAGTAGTTCGGGAACATTTAATTATGACATCGAAAATTCATGAAATGTCTAGTGAAGTTTGGAACGCCAGAAACTATATATAAACTTAGCTCAGAACAGTAGTTGAGTTTTGAAGTTTGTAGTGCTTATTGAGTTATTGTAAACAAGTATTGTAATATTGTTGGTGTTCCAAACAAAGTTGATTTTTGTTGTTTCTCTCACACATTAAAAAATGTAGTATAGTTTAAATTTTCTAATATTATGGCAGCTCTTAAAACGATACCAAATTTTTACAACTTTTTACGATCCGTACTTAATTGGATTTCGTTTAAATTTTTTCGTTTTTATTTTCCATAAATAAACGAAAGCAATTAATTTGTTTACCAAACCGCGGAGTAATATTATCAAAACGACCTCTAACAGGTTAAACGTGTGCATAACATCTAAATAATTTGAAAAAATGGCCTATTTATAGCATTTCACACACTGATATGCTACATTTCCTAAAAACAATGTATACGCGGCACATGATAACGTAACGTATTCAAAGCACAGCGCCAGACAGCGAAGCTATTATCTGGAGTTGTCACAGAATTAGAGCCATGCATACAAACTGAAAGTTCTGCTGACTTAATAAAGGAGTATACAGTTAGATACTGATGATTCTATTTAGACTTATTTCTCTTCGCGTTGAAGATTGGTGTTATGAGATGTATTTTCACAGAAGCGACACTTTCCACACAAAAATTAAAACAACGAACGAATATAGCAAAGTAATAATTATTCGAAAATGTATTAACCCTCCGTTAGGCACGTGGTAAACTGAGACACGTTTGATCACGTGGTCTACAATTGTAGAACACTTTATTTATATCATTAAACATATAATTTTCGTAATTTCAATAATAATACTGCATTAGGTATAGTTGTTGAACTATTGTTCATGATACAGAGCAGTTTTTATAACAACAGGTTTACTTATTTCTTTACTAGGCATAAAAACACTATTGCTGCATGCATTGTAAATTTTTTTATTAATCATCAAAATTATTTTGTTTGAATAAGAACTTTGGTATAACTTTGAACAAAGAAAAGAATGGTTGTTCCTAACAAGAGTAGAAGAAAATCACCCAAAATCCCATAAATAAAAATACTGTAAGAAAATTGTATAAGTTCGGCAGGGCTTCCGAAACTGTGCGTCGCGACGCTCTGGGGCGTCGCTGAGTTGTTCCAGGGCGTCGCGTGTCAGTACAGAATTTTATACAGAAAATATATTAAGTTATTATTTATTTAATTATTCAAAAAATGTTCAATCTGAAAATTATCCGATGGTCCACGAAATTATCCGAAAATCGGATAATTATCCGAACATTGGCAACACTGGAGTCAAGTGACGCCGGGCGCATGCTGTTTCGCCGGTCGGCTCGCTTCCCCGTGTTCTCTACTGGCATCATCATCATATTCATCATCACGTTGTCGGTGATTGTTGTCGGTCCTGAGCAGCTATTTCCCATTTTGCGGCATGCAAAAGATCGCCAGTGTTATTTATGCCTGTCCAGTTCTTTATGTTTCGCAGCCACGACATTTGTTTGCAACCTACTCCTCTCTTGGCCCCAATCTTTCCCTGGACGATTAGTTGAGGGATTGCGTATTTTTTCCTCTCAAAATATGGCCGAGTATCCAATTTTTCGTACCTTGATCAAATTAATTAACGCACAGCGCTAGTCAGCGCAGCCGGGAGAATTGAATTAAGAGTGGAGCAACATCCGCCCGCAGCGATATTGCCGGATTTCTTCTCCTATCTTCCAGTGCGGCTGGAGCTCCTTTGAAACCTTATTTCTGGAACGACCCCTGTATAATATCACTGTTCGTTGATACTCATTTTTGTTCGTTGCTTAAAAAATCAAGCGGATTCACTTTGTGCACAATGAAATCGAAATAATATACCGACCGATCTGTATTGTTATAATTAACACAGTAACAGAAATTTGTACAAAATGATAAAGAATATTCCTTCAAATTGGTGCTATTGGTGTTAGTCTACTTATCGAAAAATCCGCTTATGCGACTCTTTTTAGTTTTAATAAAATTTATAAAGTCGAAGTAACAAGGCTCAAGTAAATGGGGTGAGTTTACAAGCTAACAAGCCCGCTTGTAAGAAGCCGACTATTCGGCGAGTGTGCTAGTAGTAAAGTACAGACAAAATTTTCCACTTGCTCATTAGCTAACTAGCTGGCATGTGAGAAACACGTATTATTGTCTGCTGTTAAGTTACAACACATTTAAAACCAATGCTACCATTCCGGCAGTACACAAGGCTATTTTACAACCTAGCTTGCTCAAAACCGATAAGTGGCGTGTAAAGTTACCAGTAATTCAACTTTTTCTAGGTGGCTTTTACAAGCAGCCAACGGAGCCAGTGCATTGAGTACATTTCGAGCTTCTTGTGAAAAATACGGCTTGTAACTTTTAAACTAGCCCCGTACACTTGAGCCTTAAGAATTAAAATTAAACTTACCTAGATAATGAAGAAAGTTGTCTAACAGTGTTGGCTAGAGTTCCGTTCGTGACAGCTTCGAGCTCCGACGGTAAGGGATAGTCTTCCGGTAATGTACCCCTAGTGACGTAAACGGGCTCTATCACCCGTTTCGGTAAAGGCATTTTGTGCGACTCTCACACTATATCACTAACGCCTTTTCACTTTGGCCAGTTTTGGGTAACCAGAAACGTGCTGAAACAAAAAAAATCATGAAAATTTACAATAATCAAAAAATTTACGTCACTTTTCACTGTCTCAGATTAATAACTACGTGGTATAGCAAACCTACATTTTTTTATATGGGACACCCTATCTTTATTGGTTATTGGCAGTTAATGATGAAACCATGAATAGAGAAATAGAAAAATGTTCTCACGGATCCTTCTGTTCTAAATAATTACGCGTTTTTAATATTTCAGATAACCATTTATTGATAAGTAAGAAATTAAGAAAGTCAGTTTCTATGTTTTTATCCTCAAATCATTTACAAAAAAAGCAGATTGTTTTGTAAATATAATAATTTGTTTGATTTGTTTTTAACTTAGAAACGTAACGCATCGTTAAAACCATCTCAAAATAAATTTTATCTCCTAAATAAATATCCATATCTAGCATAAACCAAATTATAGTTGTGCTTCTTTTAAATTCCAATCCTATCATTCCATCGTTTTCAATCATTGTTTACACACCATAATAATATGTATAAGGTTATTTTCTTTCAGATGTAACATTGAATGGGTGAAAAATATTATATTTGTATGAAATAAGATTTGTTTACATTTTCAGATACTGGCAAAAGCACATCTCGAGAAAGGTAATTTCCTTCTAAACTTTTTAGAATCCGGATCCATCTATAGAATGTTTCATACAAAAATAATTTCACGCCATTCAAGATTTACGACGTAAGAACACCACAGCGTTGCCATAACATCAGAATAGTTAATAAGTGAGGAATTTTTAAAATGTCACTAATTAAGAATACAACTAGTCAACTGAAAACATATACATTTTCTAAATTTCTTTTTTCACTTTTCAATAATGTGGAAAACGAAATACGTTTAATCCATAATATTATTAAAGATCTCATATAAATGTATAATTTAGCTACCAGCTCTCTAGGTATTATACAGCAACTGCTCAGTTGTTCCGGCAGTTTATTAAAGTTTCAAGTAGAACAATTCAAACAAGAAAAGGTTAACGCGAGTCAGTTAGTAGGTATTGGTACAGCTCGCAAAAAAGAAAAAAATATATATAATAAAATATGTGTATAAGATGGAAGGCAACCGTATATACTCTACTATATTTCTGACTATTGGTCGTCTTCAGTACGGTGCAGCCAAAGAAATGCAAAACAAAATATTGTATTGATGTTTTTTAGATTATGCCTGGAAAAACTCTTACCTCACCAGTACAAAAACTCGTTTTAAATTTAATCGAATACTTTGAATTGGAAAAAAGGAATAGGGGACCTTGGGACCGTTGTTATCTGTTCAAGAGGTACAAAAAGTACAATTTTCAAACGTGCACTAAAGCTTTAATGATGACAAGCATACAGAAAACACAAATAGTATATGTCCACGAGAAGTTGTATTTTTAGACGAAACGTGGATTTTTTCTAGGAGAAATAAAATAATGTCGTGGCAGGATGACAACAGTAGAAGTGTATGTAAATCAGGTGGTTATGATGGAAAAATATTTATTGTGGTTTATGCCGGTTTAGCTTTTATTTCAGAAGCCAGTTTGTTATTTTATTCCAAATCCTAACTGCAGATTATCACGGTGAAATGAATAGTACAATATTTACTAAATGGATAAGTACACAATTAATTCCTAATTTAGACGCATTTGATTGTCATGCACAACGCACATGATTTACATGGTTAAAATCAGACATTATAGATTGGTTGAAGAAATGCAATGTTAATCGTGATAAACATCAGTTAAAACCAGAATTATTACAATATGCCAAGATGAATCGACAAGAAAATATATATGTATGCGAGCCCCTTCCCATATCAGTTGGACCACCTATGGAATTTACAGTTTAAGTCGTTTACCATTACCATAAACAAATTATATTCTGTATGTTTTTGTAAGTTCCCATATTAATTAATATGGCATTTTTATTAATATTTATTAAAAACATTGCCCTTATGGTTTTTTATTTTCAACAATAAAAAAATTCACTAAACCCTGCCTAAGCATTAACTTATGTCAAAATACGTGGATTTTTTCATAATTACGTTAAATCCGAGGTAGCTTTGGAAAAATGACATCAAAACCAAAATATTGTCAGTTAACGTCAAATGTATTTTGTAGTATTGTAAAGATTTTTGCCGTTTGTGGATTGTACACTGGGTCGAGGTAAAGTTATTGATGAGAAAATGTGTTCAATCATTATTAGTTTTTAATTCTGTAAAATCCAATTCGGAAATCGCGAATATGTTGCAATTGTCACACTATAGTGTAAGAAATATAGTCAGAAGATATAAAACAACATGTTCAGGAGTCACAAAACCTACAAAATGTACGAAAAAGTAAAATAACCGAAGCAGATCGAAGGGCATTAAGACGCATTTAGTGAAAAATCGACGACCAAATTATATGGAGTTAAAAGTGTTATGAAGTGACGTTATTGGAAGACACGTTTCTAGATCGAGTCACCTATCACCGAGAGGCCCACAAATTAGGAGTTGGTACTTACAAAGTAAGTTTTATAGTTGAAAAAAGTTTATAGTTTAATTTGGTAAAAGGTGTGGAAAAGTTACATTTTATCGATTGGATTGTAAACGCGGACAAATATTTGAATATTTTAGAAGAGTCTTTTACCGATTATGGAACACCGTTTAACATCTTCTTCTTCTTCTTCTGGTAGCACTACAACCCGGGGTGGGTCTTGGCTGACTGCACCACCTGCTTCCATCTCGAGCGGTCGTCCATGATGTTTAAGTCAGTGGGTAGCCCCATTGTTCTCAAATCTGACCATATATTATCTCTCCATCGCATTCGTGGACGTCCTAAGGGCCTTCTCCCTGTCGGGACTTCTTCCCAGATTAACTTGGTGAGGCGGTTATTAGGGAGCCTATGAACATGGCCAGCCCATCTTAGACGTTGGGATTTAATCTCTTGGACTACGTCGCTAGCACTATACATTTGTTTGACCTCGGCATTTGTTCTCATTCGGTATTGGTTAGTATTCGGATCGTGATAGGGACCGAAGATCTTTCTGAGGATTTTCTCTCAAAGCATCTGAGTTTACTTTCCATTGCTTTTGTCAGCGTCCACGTCTCACACCCATACATGAGCACCGGTCTAATTACTGTTTTATATATCCTGATTTTTGATGTTCGTGTTAGGCTCTTGGATTTAATAGTGTTGTGGAGGCTATACATACATCTGTTTGCTGCCTGAATTCTCCCTTTTATCTCTTCCGTGATATCGTTATCTGTGGTGATAGTCGCTCCGAGATATTTAAAACTCTCCACTCTTTCAAAGTTGTAGTGGTCTAGATGGAGATACAGACCATTACATAGTAAGAGCAAAAATCAGGTTGAGAATATCATCACAGACTTAAAACGAACGAAGCATTGGGACAGTGGAACATTGAGAAAACGCAAAATAAGGAAATCCGAGACAATTACGTACAGGAAATGGAACAACATCTAAATAGAATAGACCAGAGCAATGATGTCGAAAGGCTGTGACAACAAATGGAAAAATCAATTACAGAGTCAGCAGAACTAATAATAGGAAAAAGAAGGACGAAAACAAGGAAATGGTTTGATAAAGAATGCCAACAAAAACTACAAGACAGACAGAAAAAGCGAAACATTATGCTTCAACAAGAAACAACAGAAAGTAAAGAAAACTATACAACATCACGACGAGAAACAAGAAAACTAATTAGAGAGAAAAAAAGAAAATACGAACAACAGCAGTATGAAGAAATGGAAAGAAATAGACAACAGTCAAATAGTCGAGAATTTTACAAATCTGTGTCAAACGAAAAGAGAGGATTCAGACCTAACTGCGTGTCTGTACTGAGGAAAAATAATGATGAATTAATAATCAACGAACAATAATTACTCCAAACATGGCAAGAATATTTCAAAAATTTACTTAATATACACCAAGATGAAGAACATGGAGGGGATATATATCTTGGGGTGGACCTACCGGTAGAGTACCCAAAAATAGACGAAACATTGCAAGCAATTAACAAATTGAAGAACGCAAAAGCTCCAGGCTCTGACAATATACCAGCCGAATTTCTTAAGTACAGAGGAGAAACTTTACATAGACAATTACACAAACTAATAACACTTATATGGAACGAAGAGAAAATACCAACAAAATGGCACGAAAGTGTAATAATTTCTATCCATAAAAAGGGAGACAAAACCAAGTGCTCTAACTATAGAGGCATCTCCCTACTTAATACGGCGTACAAAATCTTATCGAACATCCTATTAAGTAGACTAACACCTTTTGTAGAAAATTTCATAGGGGAATACCAAGCCGGATTCAGAAAAAATAGATCGACCATAGATCAGATTTTTACTCTCAGGCAGCTGCTTGAAAAAGGATAGGAATTCAATAGAACCATTCATAATCTCTTCATAGATTTCCGACAAGCATACGACAGCATTAAAAGGGATCAGATGTGGAATGCAATGGCAGAACTTTCAGTTCCAAAAAAACTTATCCAGCTCGTTAAAGTTTGTGTAAATGGCTGTAGATCTAGAGTGCGGATAGGTAACAAGCTCTCAGAGTCGTTTGAAATAAACAGTGGACTGAAACAAGGAGACGCGCTGTCATCTCTTCTTTTTAATATAATCCTGGAAAAAGTAGTAAGAACCGCACAAATTAGAACAGAACTACTGACAGTAAATGGACCAAAATTACTACTAGCATACGCGGATGACATTGACATTGTAGGAAATACCGTCACCAATGTAAAAGAAACCTTCAATAAATTAGAGAGAGAGGCAAAAAATACCGGTCTAAGGGTCAATGAAGAGAAAACCAAATATATGTGCATTAACAGACAAAAGAGACGAGATAGAATACATGCCAGGTCTGTCAATGAATTGAAGAAAAAATAGCACGAAATATGGGATTC